AATGACTGAGGGAAACAGCAAAGCTGACTAAACACAACGACACTGTCAAATACACAAGCCAAACTAAAGTAGGAAGGTTTTACCAACTTCTTTCAATTTAAGGAATGTTAAATTACTTGTAACAGCATAATTGTTAAAAACAAGTGTAATTTTTTTGTGGGGCAAATCACAAAATTATTTCTTACAGGAGTGATTATTCTGCCACACTGGAGCTACTCTGCTCTCCAAATGCAGAGCAGGAAAGTTTTATACCCTCAAACATCATAATGTACTCTTTTTAACAATGACAGGAATGAAACCACCTTGTATTTATGGCAGCAAAACAAAACAACACCCAAAGTATATTTGAGAAATGGTACATGTTACATGGAAGCTAACATCCACACCTACAAGTGATCAACTCCCCAAAACTCCCTGTTTTAGCCAGCTAAAATCATAGCACACTTGTCTAGGTCTTTTCAACCATCATGCACCCACAGGAGAGGCTATAACAGCTATAGTTTATGCGTGGGGCTGGCAGATAGCTGAAAGCAATCTTTTGCAGAATACTGTACTAGCATAAAACTCTTCCATGGAAGTCCTATGTTTTAAAGGCCAATACTATCATTAGATGGAAATGTGGATACATACTGATCTTCTGTCCCAAAAAACTTGACAAAGAAGCACTTCTTTCCACGAGGCTTCTTCAGATCTTTAGGTGGATTAACAATCTGAGGAAGAGAGAGGAGACAAAGTTAGCTGAGGAGGCAGCAGCAGAGTTTTCTGTGAACCAAGTAGGTTGATTCAGTGAATGTTTGCAAGAAACTGTGCCATGGCTCTTGCAGAAGAATTATTTTAAGCAAGAGTAGGAGGGGGACTCCTACTTATGGCAAAGGCCTTCCCTCAAGCCCAGGAGCCATGAATTTGGACAGGCATGTTTACTCTACAGACTGCAACAGAGTAAATGCAAACTAGCTCGGATTCCAGAAGCAGTCTTAGCTGCAGCAGCACAGAGCTCTGTGACAATTAACTTTCTCTTCTCAGCAGAGTAAGTTAGCCCATGAGGAACGCTGCTAAAACTAGACTGTGTCCAGTATCTGATCTGTTTGTTTAAAGCTAGCTTGAGTACCTCTGTTATACTATAATCTTCAGTTCAGACATATCCTACATTATGTCACTCAGAGCACTGTATCAAGAGTTAGCACTGATCACATTACAGACTTGCACTACTGTTTAGGAGATAGAACCAGACTTTGGTCACAGCAGTCAATTTCCAACATTTTAATGGAGATTTAAGTTTTCAATAACAAAGACTTCTGGTGCTTTAAGAGAGCAGATGCAATTCAAGATGAACACACAACACCACAAGCTGCAGAATTATACTAGCACTGCATGAAGTAAAAAAAACAAACAAAAACTCCACTAATATGAGTGGACGCTTTGCAAGGCTACATTCTTCCAAGATACCATCAACTTGATATTCTCTCTCTTGTCTCCACAAGTAAAGATGGTATCCTTTTATTTAAGGGAACCAAGAATGCATTTATAAATTTTTGCATCACTGAGAAAACTTCTACCATCAAAGGCTTTGATTGTTCTTATTTTTTTTCCTTGAAGTAAAGGCAATGTTTTTAACCACACGTAAAATCCAAGGGAAGAGAAACAAATGTCACACAAGGTAGCAGGTGGAATGAAAGACCACAGGGCAGTTTGTGTTACCTGGGGTGTTAACCTGTGTGATTGTTACCACTGTCTTGCCTGCGCAAGGATAACAGTAACTTTATCCTTAGCAAAGACAAGGCCTAACCTGTTGTCTCAATTGTGCTTACATTAAAATGAAAAATATAACTCTTTTAAGGCACATATAAACAGTGGCTACAGTTTGACTAAAATGCAAATACTACTTCCCTTCTAGATACATGCCTTTCATCAACAATTACATTCTCCCCATCCCACCTTCCTCTAGATAAATGACAAAACTGTAACACTAAACATTAGTGTGGGAAACCAGACTCTCCCTTTCTATTAGTTAAAGGAATCCATGTAGCCCATTTATTATGGGAGAAAAGAAACCTGTCTTGCTGAAAGTGATAGGGATTAAATTGCTAAGCCTGGGGAATACAATCAGTTCCAGATTCAGATAAATTGGTTTGTACTACTTTTCATTCCATCTTAGCTAATACCTGTTACTGACAGACTGAGCTTCTAAACCAAATAAAGTCTTTGATGCATAGCTTGGCTCAAAATTAAGGGCAACAGGCCTCATTAAAAAAAAAAACGTCAAGAAGAAATCTATAAAAATCTTAAAACTTCACTGGAACTCTTTTCAGAAACAATTCCCTCCAGGATAAAATATGACTCACCTTTCCTGGCCATGGAGGATACCGGCCCAGCTTCCCCCTAAGGGAAAAGGAAAAGATCATCCACTGGCATCCAAAAAGGCAGTCACCCCATAACTGCCTGTTTCTACTATAATTTCTTTTTAGCAGGAGGAGGGAATTCAGTACAATCAAACTCTATCACAAGAGGAAAAAAAACAAACAAACAAAAAGGACATCCCAAGGTGGAGAAAATTTCCACCTCACTAGATTGCCATGCATGCTAGCACCTGTGCTCAGGCCAAGTCCCAAAATCTGCATCGGCCTTGTTGTAGGACCAGGGAACAGGATTGGTGAAGGTTGTGCCTGAAGTTCTAATACTGCAGCTCTTCTTACTTAGAAAGACTGCTCTCATCCCTTCTCTCCCTCACATGTGGCTGACTAAAGTATTGATGCAGACAGTTAAGTGACTGTTTGGATTGATAACATAAGGCTTTCCAGAGCAGAAAAGTCTACCAAATACAACAGGCTCTGCTTCCCAGTTCAGCTAATCATGATTCCTAGAACCTGCTTAAAGCAGTAATTCATATAGCAAAGGCTCCACACGCGCTTTCATTATCACTTTCCGGAACTGCTCATCATTCCAATGAGGCATCAAGACCACAAGAAATACAGAAAAGTGTACTGTCCGCTCTTGCACATTTCTCAATTGCAAAGGCTAAGCCCATACCATTTCCTCACAAAATAGAAGAAAAGTTTTGACATGAAAGCATGGGAGCCTCATAGTGATCCTACTCCTATCCTTTACATTGGCTGCACCTGGTCCCAGAACCCTAATACCCGTTTGTCTTGCACAAGACCAGCAGAGACTCCGGCCGGCGGGCTAGGCTTCTGAACAAGACTTCAAAATAGCATGTCAGCCTCCCTTGAGAGAAGGACAGAGAACAAGCTGGTGAGGTCTGGAAGATACGCTGCTCATGATACCAACCATAACCATACCTTAGACCTTATACTTTCTTCTATGTCTGTGCTGCACAAGCCTTTCACTAAGGGCTTTTTTCCCCTCCCCTTCTTTCCTGTCCCCCACCCATTTTATAGTTACAGCTCCTCTTGGATAGGCCTAGTAGCAGGGCCTCATCTACAGGGCTGTACATGAAACCCCCGCTTGATACATCTGCATTCAAAGACATTGCTAAGAGCAGCGCACTCCCCAAACACTCATTTGAAATACAGTTGGCTACAGGAATCAACCTGTACTTACTTTGCTACACAAATTAGACAACTTCACACCACTGCCAATGTTTCGGATGAGAAATTGCAGTTGTCACAGCCTGGAGCGCGCCGCTCTTTTTATCTGGGATATAAATATAAATGCACACACTTGCGCGTCGGGGATTAGCTGTTTGCTGCAGGCCCGAGCAAGGTGCCTAAGCCCATGGTTCAGCACAAGCTGAACGGAGACTGTGCGGTCAGGTGCCGCGCCGCGCCAACAGGCTTCCAGGAAAGCCCCGCAGCTCCGCAGAGCTGGAGCTAGAGACCTTGGCTCCTCGGCTGGGTTTGTTTGAGAGCAAAGCAGAAGCTGGAGGGGGAGGGGGCGGACAGACTGGGCTTGTGCTCTTCGGTAAGGACGCGCTGCCCTCCCTGGTGAGAGCCGCAGCCCGGGGCCGCTGCCTGGGGCACCGCTGTGCCTCGCTGACAGCCCCGGGCGGCCCCGCCCCCTCGCTAGCTCCGCGCCTGCCCCGGCCTCGCCCCGACGC